CCAGCCGCTCATGCACGGATGGGAAGAAGGTGGCAGCCCTTAATAGAATGATCCCATTTACACTGCCATTCAGTTATAAGCTCATCCCAAACGTCCGTTAATGGCTTAAACAATCTAGCAATTTTATTTCGATACCGTTGTACATATTCGATACGACGTACGTATGATCACATTGTAGTACATAGCAGCACGTCGCTGCACCTCAAGATTACCGGAAGTACGCCCGCGAGCACAGTTAGGGCCTCAATACTAACCGTCCTACAAGTCTTACACAGGAAAATCAAGGCAAGACGCTGGCCTTGGAGAAGTCTTCGCCGTACCGCGCCTATTGTGGCCCTATCAGCCCAGACAGGTGCCCCGCGTGCGTATCCCAAGTAGATTGCTCCGTATAATTATGATCCTGAGCGTAAGAGAAGAGATCCCAGGTGGCTGTTGAAATTAGCGTCAGTGCATAGAAGTTATTTTTGGCTTTCTCACTAATAGATATTATGTTCAATAAAATAAAAGGTTTTTTCCAAAACTAAACCGAGATAGCAAACAGACTCCTTTCGGTTTACGGAAACGTTGTTGAATTTAATAGACGGCCACGACTTTAGTTTTCTGGTAATAGCTGGTAAGTTTTATGGGGTGCAAAAGTCAAGCGATTTCTTTCGCCCCATCGCGAGATCCTACTGAGATAGTCTTTAGCTAAATTCTCCAGTCCGGCGCGGGTATTTGACTGTACCAGCAAAAGGCCATCATCCGCATATCCAGTCAAAGTATAGCCACGAGAAAGGGGAATCGAGAGCAAATCATCAAATCCTAAATTCCATAAATACGGGCCTATAACTGAGCACTGAGGACATCCCATTGATAACGACTTCGACCGAGAACAATGACCAAGCTTCAGTTTAATGGAACTGTAAAGGAAATACGTGTATATTAGTTTATATATGTTACTAAAACAGCCACGACCTTTCAGTTTTAAGAGCAACATTTGCCAGCATGCATTTATTTGTAGCTTGCCTATGTCCGTAGCACATTACAGTATTGTAGTCCAGTCTGGTCTCCTCAATATAATGTTTACGAGCTGACCGGGCAAACTACGTACCGCGTCAAAAATATGTTTTAGCCGACTTATTTCTTTTAAACCTTTTGCGAACGACTGCGAATACTTTTCGTATTATCATCCCAATTTTCCCAGATTCTTTATTCTAGCAATATCGATGATTATTTTGCGTTTCCTAGCATCTTCAGAAAGCAATAAATGTATGAAAATGATGAATCTTTGAACTGGTATAACTTCGTCATCTTGGATCCTACAACTTTTAAGTCATAATAACTATTGCTCCAAATGGCTAGTTCAAACGATACGTAACATTTTTTTCGTTGGCACTATGCCCAAAAAAATGAAAGTATGGATATATGTATTTCATTTGTCAAAGGCATCCTTCCATAATTCGCTTGTACAAATACTCATTAGGATGTGATTCTTACCTACAGCATTTTATTTACATTACTTATTGTTATTTTTTGTGCTCTCTCTCAGGTTTTTCTCTTCTATCATGGTGTGCAACCATGGTAAATAAGTAATTTATTTTGGAGCTGATATTTTCAACGATAAATGGATTTTGTCGAGGGAGTGATTTAGTAATCTACTGTATAAAAATAACTCGGGTTTTCCTTCCTGACGTTATAACTCCAGAACGCACCAACCGATTTCCACGGTTTTGCATTAGTTGGAAAGATCTCGGGCTCCGTGAGGTTTATAAAATATAAAACAAAAAAAATTCTTCATCTTTTTATCACCAAACGAAAGGTTACATAAAACGAAGCCATCTGGTGGCGAAGAGTTCGCCCGATTTGCTAGTTTTGAATATATTCTACAGCGCTATCGTACTAAAGCTGTCTACTGTTAATTTTTTTTTCTGGAGATGGGAGTGACCTTTTGATGGAAAGATCAGCCCTTAATACGAAGCAACCAACCAACTAACTATAGTTGGTTGTGTAAATATTTCATTAATTTATTTTTATTGTATGTTATTCACTCTCCTGTTTTTACTTAAGTATTGCACGCTGGAAAACTCTGTAATTGGCTTAACCCGTCGTGTGTCTAAGCGTGGATCCACGCGAGCCACAATATATTTTCTACTGTGTCTCATATCGGTGCATTTAAGCGGTTAAAGATTCTATGTCTTGTAATTATTATGCATGTACACTTTACTCAATAAGCCGTTGAGATTTCTGTATAAATAAAATAAATAAATCAATGAAAAAAACCCTGCATCCAGCCCATTTTGTTAACATTTCTTACTATATGTTTCGTAAGAAATGATAAAAAAAAGTTTTTGTCAATTTGTGTGGGAATACCGGGATATTAAAAATAAACTTTACTACTATGATAAAATAAAGCTTTATTTCATTTGCCATAATTATTACAAACTGAAATACAAGTTCTAAACATACAAAACTATTTACAATACACAATCATAGCCTAAATTGTGATAAATGTCGCATAATACTACAAACATAATGAATTATTCTAATTAAATGAACAATCAACATTAATTACAGTCAGCTTGTACAGATGACGAGTACATTTAATAATATAATTAAACAATACATTATCATCACTTATACAAGGTGTTGTTTTAAAGCCGCGTAATTTTCTAGAAGGTAACTCGGCTATCGATTCTGAGTCCGAATCAATAAAAAAAGTTGTAGGAAATCCGTAAGTGCGAACTACACCCCGACGTCTTGTAACTAGTTTTATGATATTAGTGATATTATTCCTAATTCCATAAAACTCCAATAAAAAAACATTGCTGTCGCTTATTCTGAAATAATGTCGAACTTAAACGATTTATTATAGCTGTATTTTAACTACTGGTCCGAAACTTTCTCTTACATTGAACCTTTATGACTTCTGTGACATGCCCCCGAGAAATGTCACGGTTTCAAAACTACACCTTGTATATCCCACAAAGGCTCGACAACAACAAAACAAGTTAGGTGTTACTGTTTGACCGCCACTTTCAGCATAAGCAGACATTAATGGATCATAGTTGGCGAGCTTTCGTTTGTTGTTGCGATCAAAAAGAATAATCTATTTATTGTATAGATTATTCTTACAGTCAATTTTCATTTTAAGTTACAAATTATACAAGATATTTTTATAAAATAAAAGTTTAACGTCCGAATACAGAAAGACTCAATTTTAAGTTGTACTTAAATATCGTGCCATCTCTATCTTTTTACAAATCATTTGTAGTGACACGACTATACTTAAACGCGACTTAAAATTGAGTGACGTTTGAGTATTTCGACATTAATAACACAAACAATCACTAACTTGTTCGTAATGACGTATTATGCAATTTTAATAGTGAATGCAATAATACACAACGTGTTATAAAAGTTAACTGAAATCGTGGGTTACTCACGTGAATATACTGAGAAAAGCTCTACTAGTTTCGAACCACATAGGGGTTCTTCCTCATCAGTAGTACGACCGAGCACGCTGCTCATGAGGAAGAACCCCAATGTGGTTCGAAACTAGTAGAGCTTTTTTCATATTCACGTGAGTAACCCGCGATTTTTAGGTAATTTCGTATGTCTCACGATAGTTATTATAAAAACGTGTTACAAAAACTCCAGAGCCCATAACATACACTTAGTAACAACAGTTAACACTATGTTACGTAACTTCCATACAAAAATATTTCTCTGTTTTACATTCTACTTATGGTCCGATACAAATCGTTGATTTTAGTTGAATAGTATTTGGCAGAGGTATGTCAAAGTAGCAGAAAATATTTTGAAGCATTTCATAATACTTATACATACACTTGATATAGTATTTACTTTATAATAAACATTACGCATTGAATTTTCCCATAGGATCGGCTAAGATGAAGGTATATACATCCAGTACATAAGTGTAAATAATAACAATATAGTTCAAGGTTGAAATTACCCGAACCTTATAGAACCTAACCTTGATTGAAGCACTTGTATTAATTGAATGTCAATGTCATCATAGGTTTCAGATTTCAGTAATCCTATTACAAATAAGACGGTTCCACCGCAAAATAAATTTACTTGGTACAAAATCTAATTGCTACCACCATGACATTTCTAGTTATTTATTTAATTTTTAACCATGGTCGTCGTCACAGGGCAAAGGCCTCCCTACCCTCCTTCCTCTCTTATTAAAGCCTTCTGTGGCCAATTCTTTGAATAGTTGTAATTAAACATTTATGGAGAATAATAATAATTAACACACGGTCTCGGGAACCTAACCCCTTTACAGAAAAATAGAAATTATAAAAACTTTGATATGAATGAAATCTAGTGTAGGCACTAGGATTTTCTCCTGTGTCGTGGGTGCGTTTACAAACATACAAGTTCACATACACATGACACCCAGACCCGAGACAACAATTTGTGGATCACACGAAGAGATCCCTTTTGCCCAGCCACAGTACCAACCTTGCAATGATTTAAATGATAAATACATTTAATTAATGCTATATGACAAAACTACAAAATATTTGTTCATGGTAATACTGACTATGTCTCTATTATAATAAAATAACATCTCGTCTGTCATTAGTCTATAGGTTAGGAAGAGGTGTACCTACTAACATAAACTTGTGTATAGTTCCGATAGATATCACATGTTTATAGGAGACTATACTGATTTTACAGTATTATTTTTTAATTAATTATATGTTTTCGGCTTACTCGCGTAACTGTAACGAGGTACTCGACTAGTTTCAAGCCATGCTAGAGGCTCATATTGATGAGCAGTATTCCGTGACCCGCGACGTGGCGACTGTCGCGCTGCTACTGCCCTCTAGCATGGCTTTGAAACTAGTTGAGTTCCTTGTCAAACAGTTACGTGAGTAAGCCGAAAACATAATAATTAATATAGTATGTCTCACGGAAGTCATAATCGATATATAATGCAACTCTTGAACTGAGTGAAACTGTTGGCATAATAAAATGTATGTAGATACAAAGAAAAATCTACCTTAATTATAAAGTAATAGATTACAATTTTGAATACCAGGGAGATTAATATTACTGTACTTCATTTTAAACTAACTACGTTGGTCAGGAACATTTCTATTTCATTTTAATTAAAAGCAATAATTTATTTTCCGCATTAATAGATACTATTTTTAAATACAAAGCAACTTAAACACAAACATCGCTATTTTAAAACTAAATAAGCGTAAGTACTTCTAATAGTGTACCCGAGGCTTTAGAACAATATAACAATACGCCTCTCACTAAGTGATAGGCAGAAAACCTCCTTAATCATATTGCTCGGCTTTAGAAAATTGCTAAACGAAATTGTACCTTATTAGAATTGTATTAAAGGTTTCGATGTATCCTCTTTCTGTTTGCTCAGTTTGGCCCGCCACTCGCTTCTATCTGCTAATATTTTACGGCCGTAGGATGTATGGATGTCACGAAACGGTACCCTTTTGCGAGGCATGTCAGGTCTCATATTCTCTTTGTCTAAAAAATAAGATTTATTATAGTTAGGGTCTATAGTAATTTTTGAGTTTTTAGTAAAAAGGATTTGGTCTCGTTAGTTCAATTCTTTATAATCTATCTAACATCAACATGGGCATGTAAAATCATATTAAAAAGTCTAACCTAAACCTATAATTATTTTCTCCTGGAGATAGGCTACATTAAACAAATCTTCATTTAAAACAATCATCATCATCATAAAATCACGCCTTTTATCCCCGAAGGGGTAGGCAGAGGTGCACATTATGCCACTATACAATGTAACACTCACTTTTCACTATTTATGTTAAAAGTCCCATGTAATAGAGGATACTCACGATGTCTACTGCCCTGAACAGCTTTACTCTCTCCGTCCGGGACTCTGTTGAAGGGGTTGTACCTCTGCCCTCTCGGAGGTACTTTAGGTTCCTCTTCCGGTGGAGTTATTGTTACGAGTGCTGCTTCAGCTGCTGCTTCCGCTGAAAGTTGCATTTGAGATTTGTTTTTCAATCGAGGTCTTGGAAGATTTGAGAGGAACCAAGTCAAGTAGATTTTAGTAAGTTTTATTTATTTTTTAACATAGTATAATAATTTATTAATATAAAACTAGGTTGTTGCTAGCTTAGATAAGAATTTAGGTTTCGGGTCATCATCAACGTCAATTTTTTTTTAATGGGGGAAAATCATCAGTTGGCTTCTCCCGCCTGGGTGAGGCGAGATCCGTGCGAGACTCACTGACTAAAAACCACCCCGTTCCTTCACCTGCACTTCGAGCCGAAGCCCCGGTAACCCGTTAGGATCTCCGCGGCTCCGTATCGGCATTAGCCCTATTAGGCCCTATCCTTGGTGGTCTGATGGATCTTTGAGTTGCGTCGCGTTCCGCGCGCTTACGGTCGGGTCTAGTTCTTGTCGGGCGGCGAGCCACCCATGGTCGCCGTCCGCAGGCCCGATGAACAACCATTAGGAGTCCAGTGGCCTCCTCTAGAATAGAGATGTTCGCCATAATCTCTACTCATGGCGGGGTTGAAGATTGTAATTTAAAAATATCATGAAGAATATTCATAGAAAATGTATTATGTACCTTGTGCTTCATCCAACTGCCTCTGCAGATCAGACACCATGAGCTTCATGTAGTCGTAACTGGCGCAGGCGAGGGCTTTCATCCAAGCTTCCATGGAGGCCTGTGAGTTGGTGCACAAGTAGTAAGTGCGCCCACCGTCACACTGGAAGGATATTTTAAAACTGTACGCTTCTTCTTCTGTCAACTCTGTAAAAATAAGAAGGATGATTGTGTCACTGCCAAGTCCCCAAGTGGTCACTGGCACTGACCACTCTCCACTTACTCCATTATACACTTTATTTCCTATGTTTAGAGACTACCTTTGTGTGAACAAAAGTTGTGGATTTTTTGTAATCATGAAAACACTGGTTAAGTATTATGTCTTGTATTTAGTAAATGCAAAAGAAATGCATATTATAATAATCAAAGCTTTGACTACTTAGTAAGTTCTCATTAGATGTGTTATTTTACATATTGTACTTATAGATCGTTACTCTATGACCATAAACTAGTCCAGTCGCTATTACAGAGAATGTACTACTATCAATATGAACAAATAATTATGAATTTCGTTTCACTTCACTCCATGATATTCTGTGAAAAACATTGTTAGTTGCACCTTTGTTCAAGTTACTATGTATACTATATTTAATATGTCAATGTTTGTCTTCCCAAATAAATAAAATGATGGATTACAATTGTATAAGGCAGAAAAAATTGGATTTGTTGATTAACTCGTCGAGTACCGGTTTTATAGACACAATTAAACTGTCAAACACCAAGCGGTCACCGGTGACCGCGACCTATTGTTCTTTAATTGTGTCTATAAAACCGGTACTCGACGAGTTAAAGAACAATAGGTCGCGGTCACCGGTGACCGCTTGGTGTTTGACAGTTTAAAGAGAAGCGTTTTAAAAACAAATACCTTCAAAATTAAACATTTAATTAGGCCCTTGGAATAACAACACATCTCTAGTCGAGCTAGGGTAGATCTAATTTGTTTGATGCCTGTTACCATAGTAACACAGAAGTAAAGTACTGCACAGATAAAAATGAAATTTTCCAAGAAAAATAGACATAGACAAATAAAGACAAAATTAGATATTATTTACCTACAAACTAATAATGAGATTTTCTATATTTAGATACTATTTAGCAAACCACTAGAGAGGCACACACAAGGGCACTTTGATAAGCATAAAAGATAAGGATTTATATAAATATCAGTTACACATAATACACATGAGGGTATTTAAAATAGTTTTTCCTTGAAACGAAACTGATGGCCAACAAAAAGGAAATACAAATAATATCCATATCACTTAATTACTCACATTCACTTATCATTAGAAAAAGGTCCTTTAGATGCAAGCCAATAAAAAGAGAATATCATCAATTTTATAGCTAGTATTGTGTACAATAAATAAAAAGTATTTCTTTCCTACCTATGGTACACCCTTCCAGAATGATCACGCCGACTGGTTCCTTGTCGCCTTTCTTGTCGAAATAAAACAGGAGGTTGCCTTTCAACACGAACCATCGTTTCTGGTAACTTTTTCCGACTTCGCCTCGCATGTCTAGCCACCCGTCGCGGTCCACCGGCGTCGCAGACGACGCGAAAGCGCACAAATTCTTTTCGTTTATTTTCATTGTCATTTATAAATATTCATACGAACACTGACCATACAAATGTAGTTACTGTGAGCTATTAGTCACGTTTAGCACCTTAGTTTGTTCTATAAGAATCAAGAGATATATGTTGTTTACAAATAAACATATCTTATTTGTATTCAACGTTTTATTTACACAGAAATCGCGAAAGGAAAATATACACCCATTCCAAAATTACGATCTTCAAAATATCAATGAGAATGAAATGACATTAATGACAATGTCACATCAATTTACCAACGTCAATGTCAGTTTGACTATCAACAGAATTACGTTTCGTTGTACTCATAGCAAGAATCGTCGACACCTAAACATTCTAAATAAATAGGTTTAATATTTTTTACAAGATCTTTAATGGAAAATGACAATGTTTTTGGAAATTAAACACGGGCTCTTGACTAATGTCAACGCCCATGTTTAGGCTCGTGCAAACCCGTGCTAACGGTGGCCGGAGATCGTCTCGCGATCCCCTACGCCCAGTGTCTATTGCGACAGCTGGGGGGTGAGGAGATTCGACGCGCCCCGCTACGTCGTTAGCTAGCATGACTGCTTTGCAGAAGGAGGAGACCTCCGTACCATAGTCTTAACTAAAGCCAGATGCGAGAGATAGCCGTCGCCGATCACATCCCTGAGGAAGAGGACACGGCTGTGCTGAGCCTACGTCCAGGGCACATCGTCACTATATGCTCCACCGTATCCTCCGGGCGGTCCTCGCAGTGATATCATATGTCCCCCAGATGGGACACACACAGGGCGTCCACCATCAAGAGGCGCACGTCTTAACACCTTCGCAAATGACAAACCAACAAATAAGTAGTTTTAATAAACCAATTTCAAAAATTTCAAATAGTCGTGGTGACCCGGAGGTTTAAGACGCCCGCTTCTCATGCATGAGGGTGCGGGTTTGAAACTTACCAACGGTAAGTACCAATGTGATATTTTTCGAGTTTTAAGATTATCTAGACACCACTGACAAACGGTGAAGGAAAACATCGTGAGGAAACCTGGGCTTATAAGTTTGTAATCAACAACCCGCATTGAGTAAGCGTGGTGATAATTACTCAAACCTCCGCGTGAGAAGAGGCTTTGTTCAGCAGTGGGCATTTATAGGCTGTTGATGAATTTCAAAATGTAGACGACTTAAAATAACTATAAAAAATAACGCGTTTTATAGTATCTTCGCGCAAGATATGTGCGCTATATATTTTGCTGAATTTAAGAGACAAGGTGGGAATTGTTGTTGGTCGAAAGTTTGGGGATTTTATCTGAGGGTCTGTGAGGCTATAGGTGGAGCTAAGCGCCCTAGACACCTCATAGACGCTCCTATGGCGCCGTCGCTATTCTGTTGGTAGTTAGGCACGCGCGTCTCGAGGCGCCAAAAGGCTCTAGCCTTGCTTAATTTGTCTTAGAGATAATATTATGGCTGATACGGCTAAGTGTCGAATAGTCTTCAATAGACTTGCTTTCAATGCCATGCCATGTGATCATCTCATTAAAACCAACGGCTTTAATTTACTATCTTCGTGTCGAATTCGGTTTTACTAAAGTTCAACTAGAATTCAACAAGTTTGATAAACCATAAAATGAAACAATGCTATTTAAATATGTAATATTTTATTCATAATTATTATTACCTATTTTCACAGTTATTTATAAAGTTATATTAATATCAAGTATTACACTAATTTTGTTTTACGAATTTCTAATGATTGCTCCATTTAGAAAATTTGATTTCCACATCAATCATCAGATTTGACCGCTTACGACTAATATATGACAAAATGGTGAGGTCTATGTACAGTACGATCCCAATTCCCTAAAAAAATTGACAAATTCACAATAACAAAAAAGTCAAAAAAACGAAATCCTTAAAATAATCCATTCAACTACGAATCTCGCTTAACAACTGTACAAAATATTACGAGTGGTTTCTTTAAAACGTGCTCCATTATACGGCAATGTGGGCAAATAACGGTATTCGATACTACATCGAGTATATGTACAAAATGTCGTTTTACAAAACAAAATAATAAACTATATACAACATCATTAAATATTCTCAAATGCTGTAACACATTTAAAACATTTCATATTCAACTAGGCATAATCAGTTAAGTGGCGGGCAGGCCGCGTCTACAATTAAATAAGTTATGCAAACCGCCGCGGCGTTGCGCACGCGCATTACATACAAAACCTGTACAAATTGCCTACCATCACTTGACAATACAAAAAATAATTAGGTACTAAGCAACAAAAAATAATTTACAATCTGATTTCTGATAATTTGTTCAATACGAAAAATTGATTAAGGATTTTTGATTTTTCCGAACTCAGTCCACAGAAATAAGATTAAAAATGGAATAATATATCAATAAAAAATGAGTAATACACGATCCAAACCACGCATCGGACATATTTACATATTTGTTTCACAGCACACCTCCCTACTCTTACGCTTTAATAATATATTAAAATAGAAAATTTCATTATAACTACAAACTGTCGGAGATTCGACCTATCAACACGCTCTTCTGTTTATTTATTTATTTATTAAATGTTGTATGTTGTTTCAAATGGCTCCATTTTATGTTTTTGTTACAAAACGACAATGTCTAATTATACAAATGCTACTCGAACATCATCTAGGGGGCTCTTTTTATCACTATTTTATTTTATCTAACCATAGACTATTGGTGTTACTAATTAGCTTTCTGCGGTGTAATTGTGTAATACTTCCTCAATATAAATTGTTTTAATTCTTCTCCACCTCAATACAGTTACCTACTACACCGTGAGAGTAATGCAGATGACAGAAGAATCACAACAAAAACAACTACTATGAGAGTATCACACATTACAGTATACCAAGATTGAATTATCATAAGAAATATTTACTTGTAAATCTGTATGTCATAGAATTGTTACCAACATCACACAATATTGATTATTATTACCATTAATGAATTATATAATTTGAACATTGGTTTTCACTAGAACCTCGAGTGCAATGCGGTACTCGTGTGAAGCAATATTGAATGTTTGTTCCCTCGTACAAAACTGTACAAAATTACATAATTCATGTTTTACATCAGTGGTCAATTTTACTAAGTCCCTAGTTTGTAAACTATACATGATTTGGAAAGCAAAATCGTGAAGAACACTATAAACGACAAAGTCGTAATGCCGTTTTATTTTTCGAAAAGCCTACAAAAATAATGCATGAATGAACAAGTCGACAAATGTCGTTATATAATAAGTGAGATGTTTTGGTGGACGATTTAATTAGAAACGTCAGTAAAAAAATATCTAAAATACTATACAAATCTAACTCCTTTGGTAATTCATACCGGTTTATTAAAATAACGAAAAATTACAAAAATATATTACATTAATACATACTCTGCCCCAAGTAGGTAGCAGTTGTAAATATTGTGACGTCATTTTATGAAACAAATATTACAGGAGGAGAACATTTGCAATTATGTGATGTTTTTTATATTAAATATGAATATTATTGGAATTGCCATGTTCAACATGATAAATAAAATAATTTGAATACTGTGTACACACGTTCATGTCAAGTATCTTGGACATTGGCCTTGGTAAAATAGTCAGTATCAATCCAGTAGCTATTGAGATCAAAACAAAACTTGAAGTGAGTTATTAGCATGAATATAGGGGATCCACAATATAAGCTCAAAAAGCTATTACACTGAAAATCATCTACATTGCATATAATGTAAAATTGTGTGAATTCAACTTGTCCTTTACTAATTTTAAGTTGCGTTATTAAGTATTTTTGCTAATAATTTTAATGCTAGCTACAATTAAAATCGACGGAAGTTTTTGTCGAGGTGTGAAAATATTTGAGGTATAAGAGAGAAAAGGGATATTGTGAGCAATTAACTATCTAATTACATCATTCCCATATAAAAAATTTATTCATTTGCATGTAGCCATCTTGGCCAATTATTATAATTTTTCTACATTTATATTATTATTTTCAAGATGCTGTTTGACTGTGGCTGTTTCATTAAAACGTAAGCTATATAAAATGAGGTTCACTTTCGATTCTGGAATGAGAGATCAGGAAGTATGTATTTTATACCGACAAGACTGCTTGGAAGTTTTCTGTTTACTTGGAAAACTGAAAATTAAATACTTATTCAATGTTGCACATATTAAATATGTGATATAAACCACTAGATATATTAAAACTGATTGAAAATAAATAACATAAAATGTTTAATTGCACAAATTGCGTAAGTGAAAGTTGACACTGGTTATTATCATTTTTTGGTTTACTTGTGTCTGGCACTCGTTGGCCAAGTTCAACAAGTTTTTTAAAATATTCAACTATTCGCTTTTTTTGGTGACAAATAAAATAAGAATAAAATGCCTTTTGACGAGAATGAATGATACATAAATGTATATAATATGTAAAACTGTTTACATGCCAAATTGGACCATATTTTGTGATCGAACTTATAAATTCTAATTCCCGGCTTAACTAGCTTGCTTTTAAAAATTTTCCTAGTAATTAATTTATAACACTTTTGATATTTCATTTTAGAACTCTGTTCGTGGGAATATTCACTTTGTTTAGGAAGGAACACATATTAGTTCAGTAACTTGTTCTAACAATAAGTTTAAGTTTATTAAAATAAAATCAAGATTTTGTCCTACCTCATATTTGCTTTAGAATAAGCATATAAGAGCTTTTTTATAATAATGTTAATAAATAAGAAGTATAAGAGAATAAGGTGAAATTATTGATAAAACATGTTACTTCAGAGTGTATTGTTACTAAACATAGTAGATACCCCACATTAACACGGTCCCCTACAAGATGTAGGCGACACACCAACACTTGACAACAATAACATACCGTAACGAGGCCCTTGACTTACACTCCCTACTAGTTAATTTATCTAAGTACTGTCATCAACTACAAGTCTACATTTACGCTGCCTTTTAGTCATTTACCTTACTTAACATGTAGCGGCAGATGGGTAGTATTACAATACATAATCATAGTAAGATATTGATTTATTTGCAGCTTTTAACATGTCTGCAACAGACATGCACGTCAATCTATTATAGTAATGTTTTTATAAATATTTTATTACGACACGACGCATAAGAAAATCTTAGTGTGGGGCGACGTGTTTTTTAAATAATTAATAAAAATTAAATTAGCACTTGCTTGCTTATTTTATAAGATATATTATGTCAAGTGTTATAGTATTCAATGATGTCTTTTATACGATAAATATTACCCATTTGCCCACTACAAATACCATTCCAATACCAACTCCAACAATTTACTCGAATAACTAGTATTTAGTCAGGCATGATCATATCACATCGGTATGAAACATGTAGTGCCTTTTTAACATGTGCAATCTATAATTGGTTTGACAGAATTATTTTTAAGGCTTCCTGCACAATACTATATTATTTTAAGTAATTCCAGTTTTCATTCAGATCCGTTGCTTCACAATCACTACACTTGTCACTGAGGATTTTGAGTTTCATCACAAACACGACACATTAACACCGCACTGCACGTCGGCACTGTACGAGGACCACATGTAGCCTGGGCGCAGGGCCGGCCTAGCCCAGCGCGGCCGCAGTATGGTACAGCTGCATCAGCACCTGCACGTGCAGCGGCAGGCACGACAGGCGGTCGTGCGTGTTGCCGTCCAGCGCCAGCCACGACAGCGCGTTGTAGCCCTCCAGCACGTATCTGTAACAGGGCGCGGTCAGTACACGCAGCCTGGGCGGAGGACTCGGCAGTCCGGGCGCGGGCAGTACCTGAGCACGTCGGTGGTGGTCTGCGAGTCCAGCGGGTGCGTGTTGTGGTCGCGGCGCTGCGTCAGCGACGTGTAGTCGTCGGCGGCCTGCAGCGAGCCGGCGTGCAGGTGCAGCGCCGTCTTGAGGAAGGCGGGGCAGGCGTCGCGCAGGTGCGCGCAGCCCGCCCACCACCACGCCGGCATGGCGCCCAGCGGCGCCGTCGACACCATGTAGCCCAGCGCCAGCGGCTGCTGCAGCAGCGCGCCCACCGCCTCCTGCAACACCACTCGTTACTACCGCACGGGGGGACATAGGCAGAGACAGGGGGCTGGTGCTAGTCTTACAGTGGTGTTGTCGTCCTGATGATGGAAGGCAGCTTGGTGATGATGATGTGCCTGCGGGCTGCCGGCGGGGTCGTCGTCGGTGCGCCGTGGACTGCCTGCGGCCCACATGTTGTTGAACATGTCGCCGATCAACAGGTCCGTCATGTTGTCTTCCCCCATATCCTCGTCACCCATGTCCACGTTCAAGAACATCATATCGCTGTCCTCGCCGTTCGCCATGGGTGGCTCGAAGGGCATCTGGTTTGACTGCATAGTACAAAAAATCCTCAAATTAGTATAAATGTAATATAAATAAAATAGTGTGTAACAAAATAAAGAGTGATTTAAAGTTTGAAGTTGTAACAGGGTGTAGTGTACCTGCGTGGTGGCGGAGGTGGGGAAGACGAGTATGTGCGTGGCGGTGACGTCGCGCGGCGTGTGCAGGTGCGACTGGATGGAGGCCTGCGAGAAGCGCTCGTCGGGCGTGAAGCGGTCGGCCATGAGGCGCAGGCAGGAGTCGGGCTCCGTGGACACGAGGCAGGCCGACAGGATGCAGGGCACGCCGCCCGGGTACAGCACGGTGCAGCTGCCGCATATCTCGCGCAGCGTGGCCGACGCGCGCACCAGGTGCTTGCGGGACAGGAGCCAGCTCCAACCTGCGGCCGCAACGTACATTGTAGCTTGCACAAACTCTCAATTTATTTATTTATTGAACATGGAACACTTACAGATATTCAAAAACAATAAAAAATAACAATAAGCACAGTTCTCACGTTTAGAATTATGGGCCTAAATTAATGTGGTATGAGTACCGGATAAATAAATAAACAAAACAGAACATAAAAATACAGACCATGCAGACAATCTGTTTGACAACTTTTTATTTTTGTCTAATATCTATTGCTGCTTGAAAAATTTGAGGCTTAAGCATTTTTTTTACCATATTCACACTAGTCATAAAAGGATCAAAGTCATCATATTCCTTACAAATATTGTTAAAGTTTCTGCTTGCACACACAATGTAACTGTTCTGCCTATAGTTAGATGAGAAATGGGATATATATAATTAAGATGAATATTTTACTATGTACATTAAAACTTAGACAAGAAATCTGCAATGACTATTTACTATCGTAAAATCGTATAAACTTATTATTCATTTGAATATGCTAAACAATGATTACAAATCTTACCCTTGAGTTCTCCATGTCCGATGCGGCCGACCCTGCCGACGACTAGTCGCCATGGCTGCGCGGCCTGGCTCATGACTCCGAGCGTGAAGTCCATCAGCTTGGTCAGCCCCAGCCGCCGCGCCGGACCACTCCGCCGTCGACGTGACCTGGACGAGTTTGAACTGATACCATTAATTAGAGATGACACACACTAATACTGTAACTTGGGAGTTTTTATATTGGAATATTTCGATAGTTTAATTCATTGTTATTATTATCACAGCCAAGATTCCACTACTGAACATAGGCTTCCCTCATATGACTTCCAGAAAGGCCTGATGCAAACTGCATTCAACCGCGCCCATCTGCTTTTTCCTTGACAGAGGTCATCGCGATAATGCAATGCGAATAAATCTTTCCAGTGATTTTGCCATTACTATAATGTCGTTAGCAAACCGAAGACTGGCTATTGACGCAGATCCTCTGTCATACTGTCGTATACAGCGTATGTGAGTGTTGCAGTGTACCTGTGCGGCACGTGTATGTTGATGGCGGCGGTGTCGAGCAGCTCGCCGCGCGCGTCCGTGGCCGCGGCCAGCAGCCAGCGCTGGTCGTGGCTCAGGCAGTACGCCAGGAACAGCACCCCGCCCTGCTCGCCCCCGCCCTGGCCCCATGTCTCCGCCACCTCCTTCAGCGCGCGCGGCGCCGCCAGTACCCACGCCGGGGAGAATAACTTGTAGGGCTCGCGATTTTTTTCCTGTATGATAATGACATTTTCATTGAGAAGTGTCAAACAAAAAATATTTCAAGATGGGAAATACTTGACACAGCAACTACTGTAAGATAGTATCGACATGATGTTGGTACTGACGTCTTTGCCTTGCAGGAAGAGATTGGCGTCGGCGGCGGTGCCGAAGCCGGTGAGCGACTTCCCGTTGGCGTGGTGCTGCAGCAGCCTGCGCGCCCCGCTGAACACGCTGAAGGCCAGCGCGCGCACGTCGGCCGCGCCGCCCGCCCCGCCGCCCGCGCCCGCGCTCGCCGCGCTGCCCGCGCTCGTCGCCTCCGTGTTGCAGCCCAGTCCCCACCGCGCGCACACACTCTCCAGGGAGATGATCTGCACACAATACCGATGTTACGAGGTTTGACAATAAAATAAATAGGTCGGTAAAACAAATTTATTATCTAGGTCATCCCTAGCAGTGACTTGTAGAGGCGTGTTTACCTTGACGAGTGGGTTGTGGTGATGCAGATGGTCCATGACGCGCGCGGCCAGGCGCAGCAGCGCGTGCAGCGCGTGCGGGCGGTGCGCGTGCGCGGCGGGCGGCTCCACCACGTACAGCACCAGCGCGGGCGCGCCCGCCTCGTCCGAGTCCCAGGCCGCCGCGCCCGCGGCCGCGCCTGCCGCCGCGCCGGGGGCTGCGGGCTCTGAGTCGGCCTCCGTGGCACTGCTGGCGCCGCCCGGCGTGGCGGGGTGCTCCGGCGTGGACGGCGGCCGCATGGCTTCCGTCCGTTCGGCTCGCTCCGCGGGCTCCAACAATGTCTTGTCCAGCGACAGTGCCGACAGTTGCGGTAGCAGTGAGCTCCGCAGCGTGTCGCCGTAGGCACGTAGATGCGCGGCCAGCCGGCCGGAGGGCAGTGGGCCCGTCCAGTCGTCGCGCTCGGGCCGCGAGCTGGGCGCGCACCGCACGAGGCCGTCGCGAGCCAACCGCGAGATGGGCTGGTGCCGACCCAGGCGACACGCTTCGTACGCGGCCGACAGCTCGCGGAAGAAGGCGCGGAGCGGCTCGGTGAGAGCGTCGCAGTCGGCGGCCAGTACGACGTAGGCCACGTCCCGCGCGTACGAGTATGGCTCCAGCGCCAGTCGCTCCCAGTGCCGCAGCGCGTAGGGAGACAAGGAGATCCAGTCGCGGTCGTGTCCGACCAGTAGCGGCGGCACGGGCTGGGGCTCGCAGAGGTCTTCGTTGCCGCGCCCGGCCAGGCGGTGGAACTGTCGCCACGTCAGGGGACCTGTCACTCCGTCCCACATGCGCGCACCACAACAACGCTTCTGTATAGCGTCTTGTAACAAAGGTCTTAATCGCCGCATTAATCTGAGAACAAGTTTAACAACGTTAATATGTTTCTTTAAGAGTAACGTTAAAAAGTCACAGTGGAGTAAAGTGAACAATGTACCTGACTACGTCGCGGGAGGAGCGTGGTGCGCGCGCGCCGATGAAGGGCCAGCGATGCACGGCGGGGGGCGCGGCGGGCGCGGCCGGCGCGGGCAGGCCGGGGCTCACGGCCGCCCGCAGCGCGCGGGCCGCCGCCGTGCCGCCGTCCGTGTACCTGTACACACACACACACACGTTACTAAACATACGGCAGAATTCAATTTCATTACTTGAGTACTTTACAGAACTTAAATTCTGGCAAAAAACTAACTCGTTAGCCGTAGCGGTTTTACAGATAAAACTTGAGACGAAATGCTCAATGAGTAGGTTTGACATCCACCATAAAGCGATGGTGTTTCGTTACACTAGAAGTCCTGATTCTCATTGTATTGGTCCTATTTGAAAGCTAGTGTGTATACGTACTCGAGCAGGTTGAGCCGTAGCTCGTCGGCGGGGGGATGCGAGGCGGCGGCGGTGGCGGCGCGCGCCAGGGCGGAGGCCGGGCCGCCGGCCGGGGCCGCGCTCTGGGCCAGCACCACCCGCGCCACCTCGCCCAGCCCCGCGCCCTGCCCACCCTCGCCGGGCTCCTCCGCCAGACCCGTGATCTCCATCTCATCCTGCGAGATTACAATACAGATTAGTAAATTATGTGGTTTTAAGATTATGCTGATATTCATAAACGACATTACGTATCGTGCATCAAACTATACAATGAAGCCTCTAAGCGTGACTTGAAACTAATTGAGTTATCTCGGCAAATTGTTAAACATAATTAATATAGGACTAATTAGTATTTTATTACGTTATATAGAGAGCAATAGTTACTTCACATTATGTATATCTGTATACATGCTACATATCCTCAAAAACTTTATACGTTATGGGAACTAACCTCGTAGAAGAGTCCGGCGCGGTGGGCCCGTCGTCGATTGAGAATGGCGCTAAACCCGCAGGTGCAGTGCGAGGGCTCCTCGTCCGCGGAGGCAGGGGACGTGCCCCCCGCGCCCCCGGGCCCGCCCCCGCCCATACCCGTGCAGCCCGACAGGTACGTCGCTGCGTCCGCGCCGCGGATGTTGCCTACCACCTGGACAAAAGTAATTTTCTTATAAGACTTATACTCATACAAATTGTGACTGTTATAGAAGTTTATGGTGAAAAACATGCAGTAGAATATAGTGTCTGCGTACCTTGGGTCCAGCATTACAGACGCAGAGCGTGCAGCTGTCGAAATTGTGGTCTCTGAAGACGTTGAGCACGGTGTCGGCCAGCAACACGTTCAGCATCAGTGGACACGCAGCGTGCGGGGCTGCCGGGGCCGAGTCCGGCCCGCGCCGGCCCGCACGGGACACTGCCACACACGACGTCGACGTCGTCGTCGTGCCAGTACGCGCTCCGGGGCCAGTGCTAGACGGCGCAGTATCACAAGGCCGGCGAGGTCGCGCGTCTCGACTCTCCGGAGTAGGCGGCGCGGACCGCTTGACCCCAGTTTGCGGCCGCGCGGTGTCGGAGTCGGCCTCGTCCCTGGGCTTGGGCTGGTCGTGGTCGTGGTCCTGGTAGCGCGGCCGGTACACGGCGTGCGGCGGGAGCGTGACGGGCGGCAGGAGCTGGCTGGGCAGCGTGGTGAGCGGCGCGTACTTGGAGGAGCCCACGTACTTGTAGAGCGTGGGCGGCTTGAAGACGTAGGACCAGTCCTCGATGGCCTGGTCGGGCGGCGGCGAGCCGGCGCGCAGCGGCGTGGCGTCGTCGGGCAGCGAGAAGCCGGGCGAGGCCTGCGCGTGCGCCTCCATGCTGGGCGGCGTGGGGAACATCTTGCTGAGCTCCTCGGCGCGCGGGCAGCCGCGCCCGCAGCGGGACTCCTCGCCGCACTTGGCGTCGGGCGGCGTCGCCACCTGCAGCTGCAGGGACATGGGGAATACACTCACTGGACAACCACTCCGATACTAACTATACCAATATCAACAATTACTATAAGAAATCAATTATGAATGTTTAACAACATGCAGTTATATTTAAAGTCTCATGAACTTCTTGTAAAATGAGACACATCTTTACAACACATTTAATTTGCATATCAACGGAGATTTAAAACAGCTATAACACACAACTACAAACTAGTATAATATAAGAAGGGTGTACACTCACAAGTCTTACCGTCTCATCTCCGCTGGCCGCGTCATCCGAGTTGTCGAATATTTGCTCCAGGTCCTTCAGCGTCGGACACAAGCCGTCCGACGTGAATAGATTCTTGTACTCTTTCGTGTCCTCCTGTACGACAAATTATCATATTTATTTTAGTTGTAGTGTTTTAGACTTACTATATTTTTGTACTTCTTTCACCTATTACAACAGCACTGTAGATATTAGTTAAATATTTTTTAAGACGATTTTTTACTTCATCTTCACTTTAACCTTCTTATTCATAAAATTCTGATCAGATATAATAATAAAAATAAATAATAACTCTGAGCTATGAAGAGACAATATTCCTATGACTATAGTTAGAAATTTTACAATGTTTTAATTTTTTACGAGTTCCATAAATATAATGAAGTGAAAAAATAGTAAGTGTTCTTACGTTATGATCGAGTTTCTCTTGCTTGAGGTCTTGTTGCGAGTCCCTCATGGCGGCCATTTTGGTGTGATCGTGTCCCGCGTAGAGGTCTCCGGCCGCGCCCGCGCCCAGCGCCATCTCCTCGCGGAAACTGTTCTGGGACGACTTGAACCGTTTCACTGGGTGCTCCAACCTAAATATTATAACAAAATTATTGTACAAATAGTGCTAAAATTAATTACAGTCATGTTCAGTGTGGCTACTGAACATGAAACGGATATTTATTATTGATACACAAATAATCATTGGCATATTGTATATAGGACGCTTAAACAGCGAATTTGAAACTGATTGAGCGAGATCTATACTGAACTGTAAATATTAATAATTGAAGACATTTCTTTTACGAGAATGTTACCAAGTATTGAACACAATAAACGAAACTCGACATGTATTGATGCGCAAACTGGTGTACAATGTAGCGAGGCAAAAGATTCACGTCATGTCAGCTTCATCGTGACGTGTCCGTGTAACTCGCATATAGCAAAAGGATTTTCAATGTATTACGGATAAAAATTTGTTTAAATTTAAGTTTAATCTTTTAAACATTGGAACTTATGTATAAAATAATGATGTTGGAATCAATCGTTGATTAGATTGCGCAAGTAATACTAGACTTTGCAGTATAACTGAACCGATTAGGGGTATGTTTGACATAAGTGAGTGAATGAGGTAGACGGCGTACCAGGCGTGCACGGTGGTGTAGTCGTAGAGCATGTGCAGCGCGTGCTCGTCCTCCAGCGGGTCGGCGCGCGCCGCGCCCGCCGCCAGCACCGGCCGCCGCCACGCGCCGCCCGGGGACCCCGTCTGTGGGCACACACACTTACACTCACTGTTTACAGGTAGCTCCTCTACAAATAAACTGTTTAGTAATCATGCCTTCATACCATTCTCCCATTTTTATATGCCCACAGAAACAATAAAACATCACAACATCAAAAGCTTGTCATTAATCCTTATGGTCATTTATCAATTTAGTTAATTTGGCATCGCTCAAATATGATCAATCGGAAATGCAATCAGATATTCTTCTTGGCTCATTGTATTCCCATTGGATACATCATATATTTATCTCACATCCCTTTCATAAGATTAAATCAGCATAATTATGTATTTGCAAATAACTATAGCTTACCTGTGTATACGTTTTGGGCGGGGGTAACGATGGCGGCGCGGGAGTAGGTGGAGCATGCGGGTCCGGCGTCGGCGCAGGCGTATGTAGCGTCGTTGGTACTATGCCCGTTGACTGGTAAACATATACATTAATGTACAGAACAGGAAAGCATAGTCATGAAACTTGACCTAATGATTAATTTCAAATTATAAGTTTGCTTTTTGCTTAGATTTAACATACCTGGTGATTAGGCAAGGGCTGGTGATGTGGCGAGGGTGGTGGTGCTCCAGCGGAGGGCGGGGCGGAGCCGCCCGGGGCAGGGGAGCCTCCGCCACAACTGGCCGGGGAACACGCCGCGCCCGGGCCCCTGACACACACAATATTACTTTAACAACCCGTACACAGGCTTAACATGAGGCTCCCGAGTGAAAGTGAACGATGAACCATGTACCAACATATCACTAATCACAATTAACCCATGATAAACAAACACAGGTGTAACATAACAACAAACAAAACAATGCAACCAAATGTGCTTCTTTACACCCAATTAAAATTATTCTAGTATAAATGTTCATGGACCTACAAAATAGTAGTAAATGTTTCAATCCCTCACTTTCACTAATCAACCTCAGATATGATGGCACCCATGAACGATAGACCCATATGGACTAGGACAGACGACATGGCGAGTGGACCCCCGAATGAAAGGTAGATGTTATCATGTGTACCGTAACTTGTTGCTGCAACCTCACCGCTTGTAACTGTCAAAACTTAGAACCTTCTTCAGTTTATAAAAGCTCCATGATAATAAAATTAGCAGTCTAAATTCAGTGCACTGTGATTTTTTAAAGTATTTTTTAAGCCGCAACAAATATGAAATGTAACGTGCAACCCTGTTGCTGTAACTAAAACAAAAGTGCACTGAATTCAATAAAAACAAAAACAGAACAGTTGCAAACTTCAATTAATTACCTCGAGTTCGATTTAATTAACTGAAGTTTGTTGAACTCATTATCATTTGATATAGGTAATACTGTTCCAATCTTCGCAATAACTGAAGAATTATTGACGTATTACAAGCGATGACAGTGTAGCAAATTCTAGAAAATGTGTGAACATTAATGAGGCGAGGATTCAGTTTAATTTCCTTAAATAATATTAATTGTATAGGTAATTATGTCTTGGAGTTCCAAGATGACAATTGACAACATTATCATTTCGTATCGTAGCGGAATAAAAGTATATTATATCGCATGGCCGTTATTACATTATGATACCAATAAATCAATTTATCAGTGTTTTGTGTATAAAGCTTATTATAATGACAGTATTTCTTAAGTTTAACTGATTACATGTACGTTAAATGATCAGTAAAATATTATAGTAACGGCTTTAGGGCCAGTTTTACTAGGAAATTCTATGTGATAAGGAATAAACATTGCTATGCAATTTTTGAGTATTTTTTTTCTTGTGTGATTAACTAACTAACATTTTAATTGTAATTTTAGTAAAACTGACCCAATACTAAATTATATTAACGCAACGTTAACAGCATCATTCCGGCCGCACTTACAGCATGTACTCGTATTTCTTAACTAACAATTAATTAATTAATCAGCCGAACATAATAAGGTTGTCAAATACACAACGATGTTTGATTAGACACAAATATGATAAGACACAAAACATGCAATTCGTATGATAAATATCAGCATTCGATACATATGTCGCATGCAGTATAAAATAGAATAAATGATAGTTTAGAGGCAACATGCGGTATGAAGCGGCTCGGCGTGGAGTGTACTCACTGCGCGGCGTGGGCGGAGTGGGCGGAGTGGTTGGAGTGGGCGGAGTGGGCGGTGTGGGCTGGGTGCGGGGCTGGGCGCGGCGGGCGGCGCGCGCGGCGGTGGAAGGGCGGCGGCCGGGCCGCGCGCCGGCGCCGCCATCTGCACACACAAGGGCCCTGCCACTACCGCGCTACCCGCGCCCGACCCCACTCACACATCTCTTACCCGCTATGGCGACCCTACTGGGCGCTCGCGAGCCCGACATGTCTCTCGCGACACTAACTCCTGCTCCGATCCGGTAACGCGATTGGATACACGGTCCAATAACTATTTAATTCGAAACGATGGAAACGCGTCATTTTCTAGTCTTAAATGAAGCTTTAAAATCGCGAATGCCCGATTAGAAAAAAACAAGACTTGAAAGAGATCGAAGTAGTGATTAATCCGGCCGATCATGATGTTTTAAGAATCTAAGAATGTATGTATTACAGCGAAACAAAATCTAATTTCTAACATTTTTGTCAACATGCCCATTCAATAGCAATAACGAATTCAACTCTACAATAGTAACGTTCATAAAAACACCGATTTTACTAATCCAAACGATTTCGTATAAGAGATATCAAAGTGTGACAAGAGTCGCCGCGTGTCTGACAAAGGAATTCAAAAATAAACCTTAATGCAGTACTATAAGAACTTACAATATCGATAGAAAATTCTTCGAGCATTAAGTTTCAAATTCCTTTGTCACAAGTACCAATAGACATAATATAATTATGCATATTGGTTAAGCTTTACCCTCTACTGCTTATGTAACTACAAATAATAATTATATCATTGCTAATAAGTATATAAAAATAAAACATTCACATACATAACATCTACCTATCGTCTACACCCTGTTAACTTACTAATAATAACTACACATATCGTCATCCACCGGGAAATTGATACTTATTGTTTGTAACATAAGGTTCAATATGCTCAGTGGTAGACTCGCCTGGAACTCTCATTCAAAATGCAAAGATATGGATAAATAGAGTAATAATAGTCTTTCATACATGTCATACGTAGAATATAGATGCATAACACACAATTTCATACAACTACTGCTATATACTGCTCTTATCTACTTATGTCATTCGCTGAGTAAATGCACTGTACAGATGTCACAAATATATGAGATTTATCCTTTTAAAATTTATTTTCTCAGTGCATGTACTTAGTGAATGCAATAACAACAATATAAATATATAAATGCGCGATATAGTAGCACTACTATGCAGAATTATGTTTCTGTACTCACTTCGCACAGGTACAAGGAGTTTTTCTGGTGGGATCTATGAAGTCTTCCGTCTTGTCGCCCGCAGCCTCACCGTAGCAGATCTCGGGAGCCTGGAATTACAGTTGTATGTTATTATTGTGGCATTGAATAAATATAATGTAGGATTTAGTGATGTATGTTCTTATTCAGGAGTTAATAATAAGGATAAGGTTTTTATGTTAGTGTTAGAATAAAAGCGTAATGGCATTCTGGTTTCATGAATGACACCATCATCATAAACTATTTAATATTGGAAGTGTAACTCGAAACTTATCTTAATTCTTAAAAGACAGTTTTGTTTCCCACTTCCGATTTTTATTGCCACATGTAATATTGTAGAAGAATTTGTAAAAATCTCGATGATTGTCGATAAGGTAGGATATGACAGGATACTTAACCTGGGTTTATTGATGTGTATAAGAAGCCAATAGGATTCCGGTTCAAATGTCTGCCAAATGGTTCTCATTAGATTATGGAGTGAGAGAACCTTATACACATACCATTGCATATGTTATGAATCTTGATTGTGAAATGTTTGTTAGTCCCTATACATGGTATAGTGAGTGAGTGAGTGAGTACCTTGTGCGGCGCGGGCGTGGTGAGCGCGGCGAGCGTGCGCGCGGGCGCGGCGGAGGGCCGGGCGGGCGCCGCCGCCGCCTCCATGTGCGTCACCAGCACGTACGGGCACGGGTACCGCATGCGGGCGCCGCCGCACACCACCTGCGGGGGGACGTCGCGTATTAATACACTGATTTAATAACTTGCAGAGTAGAGCCCGACTCTGTGACAATCCGAAACCTCTTGCCTCAGGTCTTCTCAGGGCCAGACAAAGTATTACTGGATCTTTTAGTATTCGATAATAATCAACACTAACAAGAGTGAATTTAGGCCTGGCTAAATATGAAACTTCAATAGAGAACAGCAACTGTAGCCAAATACCATTTAGCGCTTGTCTACATGTAGAATAGAAAACCAAAGTATATGGAATTGAAGTAAATTTTGACACCTATCAGTGTCATTCCCATACATTTAGTTTTCTAGTCTCTCGGTAGACAAGCGCTAAAGTAGCGTTTGGCTAAAGGCACAGGTGTTACAAATAATAACATTAGCACCTCTGTTAATCGACAATTACCAGAAGGTTGTAATATTATCATATCCCCACTTTTATCAAGATAAGTAAGGTAACATGCAATAAAGTAAGATAAGTACCTCGACAGCGCCGCAGCCCTGCTCCAGCGGGTATAGCTGTCGCCAGGCGTCGAGCAGTCGCGCCGTGCCCGCGTCCGCGTCACTCCACTCGCGCCCCGTCAACGTGCCCTCCAGACCGAACGGTGCCAGGATCACTGTAACAATACGATATAAATGTTAATACCATCTTGGATTGCAGATTACAGTAATTATTAGCAAGCTATAAGAACGGATTTTAAGCTTTTGACCACCACAGTTAGGTATATTCGTCAGGGTGAACTTTTACTGTTGGTTATTTAAGGTGTTGTTTACCTCGTGAAGTTAAAGACCTTAATGTGCAGCTGTGGTGTGGAAAGCTAGTAATATAAATTTCACTCTATCTCTCTATTTTACGTCTATGGAACACATTGTACTCCATCGTCCGCGTTCATTTCTAGTTAACATTCCCTTACAGGGATCGAAACTGTAAGGAATCAGTGGCGTAAACGTATGTTTGATACCTTTGGCATCAGCCTGGTTGTCGGGCGAGTTGATCTTGGCGAGTCGCTTGGCGGTGAGCGTCCTGACGGGCGGGTGTTGGCGCACGTCCACGGACGCGCACACCGTGCTCTCGCCGTGCAGGAAGAACGCGAACGAGAACGACAGGTGCCATGGACTGGAATATAACAGATTATTTATTAATTAACAAAGTCTAATGATGCTTAAACTTAAACATACTAAATAACACGATAGGTGTGAAAACGCATTTCCTACGCTTCCACACAGCACCAATTGACTTTTACAGAGACTTATAAAGAGATACTTGGACACAAGTTCTAAATAATTTCCCATACAATATTACCCAGTTTCTAAATTGATTAGGTAGCTCATTAAAAGTTTATAACAATATAGAGGGTTGCTACTAATGACAAATGTAGTAAGTTGTGTCGGTGCAAGGCGGTGCGTCGCTCGAGTACCGCAAGGTGCGCCGTGGGTCGTGTCTACAGATAATATAGTCAGTGGGCTGTGTCGCTCGTATCTAGCTGCGACGCGCGACGGCAGCCTCAAATCAAATTGCCATCGATCGCTGTACTCCCATGTAGCGGAATATCGGCACTGATATTCAATTTATGTATCTATTTACTGGTAAGTTTAACATAATATACGAAAACGGGAAAGGCGGATAAATACTGCCGCCTTTTGATCATACAACCATATAATTCGGACCAGTTGTTATTGTTACGCTTTAAAAAACCTTCCAGAAGATTAAAGACTATATTAGGTACAGTTTTTATAAAGAAAAACATGAAAAATACTACATCTACTTAGTAATTATAAAGTAAAGAAATGTCGGAAGGGGAACGAAGTCCCACCCTAGTGTCTTAACGGGTACGACACAGAGATCTTCTCATTTGCTCTAGGAAGTGACGCTCGTGTCACCACGGCGTGTTTGATACCAATCCACTGAGAGAATTGGACCAAATTGAACTTCCGTACTTACAACTATACATCTTATAACTACACAAGGACTAAACGATGTGTCATATCCAATTACATATTTGCAATTCAATGACTGTGTACGATGTTACATGAAAACTTTGCTTGCGTGATTCAGGACTATGACGTCAATCACGTCAAAGGTTTAGTGATGCCAGGTTAATCGTGGCTGAATATTTAATATTTATATTTTTCCTGTTTGTCACATAATTTTGTATGGAAAAGTATTAGTAGGTATATTTAAAGTATTGTTATTTAGTTAGTTAGTTTAGGGCCTAAATTAGCGAGGTCGTTACTTAATGGTCTGACAATAGTGTAATTAAGAATAATTTGTCACCTAGCTAGATATTTAATGGTAGTTCATAACCAAAAGCAATGTTACCAGTTTGAATTTGGTCTGGTTCACAAAACCGAGTTGATTAAACCAGAAGACAGTCATCTTTTTCAAAGAAAGAATGTTAGGTTAGACTCCATCATCACTATGAATCAGAACATCGCACAGTTCCCACTAAGGCATGCCCAATAACTTTTCCCAATACCGTTACTTTACCAAAAGAAACCAATCATTGTACAATGTACAATTAAAATCTTGCAGATACAATCAACATCGAGTAATTAGCTAACATGTAACGCGCACACGCAAAAGACAAGCGTGTCATATCGTAACTTCGACTTTCACTATCACAAGCGATTCTGTACTGAGATTAACTCTTATGCTTTTAATAATAGGGTTTGAAATGCATTGTACCTCTTGCCGACTTCTTCTTCGTCGCCGTCGTAAGGTTGGACGAACCATTTCCCAAGCCTCACGAAGTCCCGCGACAGTAGACATCTGAAAATGAAAATGTTTTTAATTAATTTATGTCAGTTACGTACGTCAATGGGAGACGTCAGCCATTACGTTTACTGTGAGAATGATGTCCGTGCTAAGTGTTAAAAAACTTTTTATTACTTGTCTGAGAACCGTGATTTAATTAAGTATACTTTTAAAGGGTAGTTAAGATACTAATGGACAGATAATGTTAGCTAGGTTTTTGCAGATTTGACTGACAGTACAAAGCGCTTGTTACTTGTATCTTCTACTGTACCCTGCCCATAGTATCAGGGTCGATATACATAACATCTTGTTGTACCACACACACATAACAATAAACGTAGACATACAGATTGTGATTTGATACTGCCAGTTAAAGAAGCCATGAAATGGCAACATTTGGAGTTTCGTTAACGGCTGGCAATATTGAGAAGGGCCTATAAGCCATATTGTTTCACAGCTCAGTAAGTTAGAACGCGAGATCTTGTAACATTTAACAGTTTACGAGTGTATCACGTTTCTTTTATTGGCATACCGTTCAACGATAAAGTAAGGAGAGGCGCCATTACTCTGCGGTATTGTTATGTGGTTTAATGGCTTGTAAAATAATAGTTTCTTATAAGTTACTAGATTCTTCTCGCCTGTTTCAGCAGTTCATTAGATTTGTTTCTGCAGTTTAAGTGTTAAAGCTGTACTTAACAAACCCACGTTCGAAAAGTGATATAAAAATGCTTTACAAGTTATTTTCTAATGCATACCTTGTAAATGATGTTAAGTGAAACGTATAACAATTGTTTTTACCTACTGCATATTGTAAAATGTTTACTGAGCAATTCATTAACGCCAACTTAATAATTATAAACAAATATTATTAACTTCTAATTGTTTAAAACTTTGCGATGCATTTTTTAAAGAGTCCAATAATTTCTATTAATTTTATAAATCCATAATGTTTGTTAATTTGTGTGGGTTGTTTTCACGTCGCTATGCAGCGTTTTTTGTTTCTGGAAATAGTTGAAAAGGTAGAACATGACAATAGGCAGTCTTTGCCACATAAGCTACCAAATTAACTCCCAAGTTTCACAATGGAATCCAGTTCAACTCTAGTATGTCCTTAGAAAATGCATTGTGAGTACGTGGACGTTATGTCCAAAGCAAACGTGAATATAACAAGACGGTAGAGGCGGGCGTGTCGTAACTCCGGCCGAGTATCGATTATATTACCATGGCGAATATTATTGTGTCACCACTCACCACACTAAAGCGACGTAAATTCATAGTGAACTGACAACTAAGCTGAATGTTGAACTAGCTATTAAATTGTGTGAATTACCTACTTTGACTGTTGCAATGAAGATGCAGGGCATTGCTATATTGCACTTAGAAAATCACTACAATAAATGCAAGTTTAAAAGACGTAAAGAATTGCAGTTTCATACATAATTGTTAATAACAATAAATACTTAAATCCATATAGCTAATTAAGGCTAAGTGTTTTCAACGAAGGACAAACGAATATAAGCTTTATGCACTTGACTTTATGTATACTTTGGTTGTTATGAGAAATAAATTGTGCAATTTGGAGCTTGTCCTAAGAATAATGTAAAGAACTATTTCGCGTTCAGTGCTTGTGAAGAAGGCTATTAATTAAAACAACTTTTTATTTGTTTCGTAGTGTTTAAAGTTTATACATAACATAATATCACGCCTTTTTATCCCCGAAGAGGTAGGCAGAGGTGCACATTATACCACTGTACAATGTAACACCCACTATTCACTATTTATGTTATGAGTGCCATATAATAGGGGGTGAGCCTATTGCCATTATACCGGGCACAATTCCAGACTCCGTGTAACTACTGAGAATATTTTAAAAACCCAGTAATACTTTTCCCGACCTGGGAATCGAACCCGAGACCCCTTACCCGGCAAGTCGCACTTACGACCACTCGACCAACGAGGCAGTTTAGCGAGCGAGTAAAGTTTATACAGTTTTAATAAAGATACATCATGACAAAAATCACATTGAAGGAAAGATTAATTTGAAAAGCCCTTGCACGCATTGTCAGAAATGGGTGAAACAGTAATTACAAGTCAACAGCACCAAAGTCTACAATAAAGAAGATAATTCCCATTACATTATTTTTGGAAGTGCGTCGAGTACAGTATAAAAATGTATGGCAAGATAATGTATTAGTCGGTCGATAGTTTATTTCGAGCGATGCCCCTGTCTATCGTCTACATCTGAACGTACGCACTCCACCACTGTATGCTACAGTTGTAAACATCACTTTCTTATGAGTCACGCTGCAACTTTTTCATTATATTTCTAGTATACATTTTGCTCCAGAATCCAGAATTAAAGTGTACTTAGAAATACATCTTCATCAATTTTCTGTAAGTGTTAAAGGATTTTTTGTAAGCAGCGCTCTGATTTAGAGATTATGGCAACCTGTCTTATGTAGAGGAGGCTAGTCTTTTTTTTTTTAAGGGGGAAAATCATCGAATGACTGCCCCCACCTGGGTGAGGCGGGAGGGAGTGTCAGACTCTTACTGACTAAAAACCACCCCGTTCCTTCTCCTGCACGTCGAGCCGGAGCCCCGGTTACCCGTTAGGTTCTCCGCGACAGAGGAGGCTAGTCTAGGAGTGGACTGTTATAAGCTATGTATTACAAGTTATGTAGTACACGTGATTTTGTGTATAAGGCAATAGACTATACACATTAATTTTATACTCTATTACTAGGAAATAATACCCAAAAAAGGTAAATTTTGCTCTAAACATTGTGCCTTACCATAGAAGGAAAATAAACAACTTGTTTTGGTTATTTTATGAATGTCCTAATTCTGTTTCAGGTAAAGTACATACAAATATGTAGCTGTAGTCAGTTGTCAGTATTTCAGTAGTAAAAACGAGGAAATGTGTACGAATTTGATTGGCATAACGTTTACATGGTATAAATATCCTTACTAATATTATAAATCGGAAAGTGAGTTTGTTTGTTTGTTCCGCTTTCACGCCGTAACTACTAAACCGATTGCTTTGAATTTTTGCTGACGTAAAGTTAGAAGTCTGGATTAAATAATAGGGTACTTATTATCCCGGAAAAAATTATATTCTCGAGGGAAAACGAAATTATTGGTATAGATGGCGCTGTGTGTATTGGTATATGTCATAGGCTACTTTTTATAACTAGACGAGTGAAGCCGCGGGTAAAAGCTAGTAGGTAATAAGTATACAAAAACTGTTTACGCCAGCACCAGAATAGTTGTACACAATTTACAAGTTGAATAACATCGCATCGTAAATATTCAACTTTTTAAATACTTCATTGTACGTTTACTTATAGAAGTTGGATAGAGTACCTACATCTTTCTAAATACCAATAATGGTAACTTGGTATGAGATAGCAACTTATGACGTTATAATATTCTTGCGTCCAAAGTATACTTATTTCTTTTAAACTAGCTAGAAAATTACGAGAACTAAGTATATCGTGTAATCAATTAGTGTAAGTGATTTCTTTTGTAATAAAACCTTATTTTTGACTATGCAAACATCACAATTGTTGAAACGATTTCAATTACATATTGGCTGGTCACATTGTCACTTTGTGTATCATAGCGTGATTCATATAGTTAATAATATAAAGTGCTGATGTATGCGTAAGCGTTAATAATCACGATATTAGCACAGCACTTTTTTTATAGATCAATTAATTTATAGACTTTATTCGTACTAGATTGCGATATATTTTGTATTTATCGCTCGTAGTTTAGCTTGCGATATTCTTATGAGGAAATCTCATCAAATATTATTTAATAATAAACTTATGTTCTTCTTATTGTTACCAAGAAATCAGTAACATTAACGTATCTTTTATCAATAGGATAACCGTTCTAATCAGTTTGGTAGTCTTATACAAACAGTAACAACTAATAAATAGCTATAATACTACCTATTATACACATTTAGCTTGTATAATAAGCAATTTAAAATCAAAGAGGTTGACCGCTCACTCGTGCGCAGTGGGGGCCATCCGATCTACACATAGCAGCAATGTAAACCGTCGTAACGGGAGAGATTTAGGTGCGCGCGCGCAGGTGTCCGCGATGCAAGCACAGGAATGCGTTTGCTACGCTTTGAATATGTATCAAACAGGTGCAAATTTGTTTTTCACTGCACTTTGTATTATCTTTAGGTAAAGAGACAATTTATGGCTACAATAACAAACTCATTAAATACAGTTAGTATTTGAGAAACATGTTAATAAAGCGAAAGAGTTTAGTACCACTTTGTTCATTTTCGCAATAATTATTAGAATGGAAGTTAAAGAATAACTTCAAGAGTATTCAACGGAATTTTTACGATCACGTAGAATTAAGCAATTCAATGTTGAGCATTTAGCATATTTGGGGGTCTTTGAACCAGTTTCCCCGAGATGCCGCCCGCAGCAGTCGCAAAAACGCTGTAAATGTTATTTGTGACTGTTTCAACGGCACGTCAACCTCAATTAAGAATTCAGGATCGGCTCTGAAACTGTTGCTTTGGTGGGAATATTAGGATCACTGAGACGTTAAAAGTAACTATAGATTTCTAAGAGCAAAATCGCTTTAACCGATAAGGCGTATTTGGGCGAGTTTATCTGTCAAACAGCAGTCGGACGAGCCTCAATAAACATATTTCTCTGTTCAATACTCTTGTCTTTGTTGCAAATTATTACTCAAAAAGTACGCACAGGTTCGTACACACTCAAAACTTAACAATAAAAAAAGGGGCAAACCGTTTAAACTTTAAAGAAACTCATAAACGCTTGAAACAGGAACATTCACACTGTATATTACAAAGATCTCATTTTTCGCACTTTAAAATGATTGTAAAAGTGAATTTGAGGCACGAGTAGGTGCGTGGTAACAATGGCTAGTGTGGCAACTTGGCAAGGGCAGTAAAACAGGCATAAAAACGTTAACTCAATCGCGTCTTGTCTTGACGAGCCTACAGCAAAATCCTGCCGCATTTTATTGCTACACTACTCCGGTACTAAGTAACTGTGAGCCGTAAAGCTGAAATTAATAGTCGGTGATGATATTTTACGTGTGTATTGTGTCTAAATTATTTTCTTTGTATGTTCATTCTTTATTCATGTTACTGTATTTTCTATCGAGGCTATTAATAAATAAATAATAGATTAAAAATATTAATAATAGATTAAAAATACACAAAATCCGCGTTAACAACAATTTAACTGACTTTTTGATGTGTCCACAATTTATTACATAGTGTATAACGACACTGCCCAACCAGCCGTCTCATTTGTGTACAAAAATCTCAAAGATCGTTGAGGGTCTAATCAAAGTAACGACTAATAAAAGGCTGAATACACGGCAGCTACCTTAAACTCGTGGAGCAGAACGCGTGTGTGTATTGTCGCCAGTCGGGATCGCATCCCCGGTTCACCGCCACGCATTGTTTCTTTGACGCCCCGCCAGCCGACACCGTGGGGTCAACGACTCGTCTGGATTTCGTTCATACGCCGAGATTCCGTCGCTCAGCTCCCGACAGTCGCGTGATACCGATGCATGCGCCACTTACATCATTAGTACTGATCTATAGCCAGTGTTCAGTTACATCATTGTAGTTGCCAATTATTAAGAACTGAACGAAATCTGTATTACTGAAAAGGTCTAAGTGTTTCCATCTCAAAATTTACTACAAAGGTCGCAAGTTAATTCGATACTGTAAACCTGTCTAATAATTAAGCTCACCCGTCAGTAAAATTGAAATCTAACAAAATAACTATATTTTGTCTAAAAGTCGTGCCCGTCAACATCTCAAGGCCAAGTCTTACCACAAAAATAAAGCAAAATTTTAAGCTAAAATTTAACAATAATGGAAGCGATAATTCATAGTTTAATTTATTAAATATTAAATATGTAATTAAATAAAACTTGATAGTTTTATGGTCTATGACGAACGGAACTACTCTATTAAGAAGACGTCAAAATAATTATTGAACAGTTACCTTGACAATTTAATTAAGATTTTTAACTAAATAATTTATTAAAATTAAAATATATCGACTGCAACTAAACTAAAATAGGTAAGTAGATCAAGTTCCAAGTAATGAAATAAACTTAATTGGATAATTGCGACAAACATGTCGACAGTCACCATTCCGATATCTACTTTCAGTACCACCAACAAACTGTAGCAAGAGCAGAACGGCTGAAATTTTTAAACATATTTTTTCTAAATATTCATTAATGAAATAACCCATTTAGATGACCTACACATAATTCTTAAGAGACGGTTTCATCTACAGCTACAATGTAGTCTACAATATAAAGGTCTGGAATTTCAGTAATCTGCGCCGGAGCATACGGGCCACGTCTAAAGAATACGCGACAAAAAACGACATTAGAACGCCCGCACGATACGACGACCTTCGTCTCGTAGTGCTACGGCTACGATCGTAGCCCGATGCGCTTGCGCACCTGGTGCAACGCTATCCGCGCAAATTGTTACTCCGTAAACGGCTGCTAATTTACTGGTCTCGTTTAATTTTGTATAAATTGTTTAACTATATTATTATTACTTTGTGTGTGTAGTTGTTTAAATAATGGAGATATAACACTTGATATTTATCTAATGGACGGGTAGAAATAACTAGGTCAGTTCATGTATGGCATATTGCCTAACTGCTATTAGGGTAACTAATTTCTTAGGTCCATGTAAAGGAGGCGAAAACACATGACCAAAACTCATTGATACGATTTATCAAAGAATTGTTTAGTTCGTTAATGCTTATAAATACTAAGACTCTTGCTCGTATTATTATTGAATAAAAGCTTCCCGAAAACTATAAATCACTAAGAAATGTAGGAATACATTTGGCGTTGTCCACATACGCTATTAATCAAATTTAGTCATGTTTGCACTGCACTAATTAGCCAGTGTTTCTGGTTAAGTAGCTAGCTAATGAGGCGGACCTGTCATTACACAATAGAATTCTAATAATTATCATTTATAATAGATATTTTATTCGTATTTGTTTAAACGCTGTTAATGTGTGTAAAATAAATGGTATATGTACTTTCATTTAGAAACAAATCATGTATCAGATTTCAAATCTTAAAGTTAAAAGTGATATTTCAACGTTACGTCATAATGTTTTGTTGTATTTGTATTGGGCTGACAGTTCTGCGGTCAGCATAACCGGAAGTCAAGTACTTATGCACTTGGTTGACAAAGACAAACTATACTTCTCTTTCAATTCTATATTTATAGCAAAAAACTTTCCGTTAATGGAATATTTACAATAACATAATCACCATAAGATTAAATAAACTGAAGATAAATTGGCTACCTCGAACTTGTGACCCGTGGCATAGTTTTTATCACAGTAGATAAGACAGTTGTATAAAATACACATCAGATATTTGCAATGTTTTAGATATCTCAGGTAATTAACGTTATCAGACGCCTAATCGAATACTCAACGTCAGATTAAGCATTAACAATAACAACATTAAACAAGTCAATGAAACTTTCGTATGATTTCCTAACTGAGGAATGCGTAGCCAATTACGTAGGGCCGAGTATTGTTCCTTGTGGAATACCTACTACATGCACGACTGTGAGTACGAAATGTCTTTGTGAGCGTACAAGAAGCATACATGAAGCGGTCAATAGGAATGATTTCATAATAAATCACGAGCAATTAGCTCGCGAGACGCGTTGGAACTAAGTGTTCGCGCGACACTGGCGGTGTGACATGCACCATTGACTCCTTATTGTATACTCGATCGGCAATGATTAACAAGGTATTTGTTACTACCGACTACCGTACAAGTTTTTCAATCACGTTTTTGTAGGTAATGCTAATCGTGTAACGTTTTAACCAGCCAATTGAACGACCGCAAAATTAATACGGGCGAAGTAGATTGGTGGACGTTTCACACCTACAATGTGAAGACCAATCAAGTGTAAGTCGATAATTATCGATACTTGTTGTTTTGATTACGTGATAAGTTATTGTTGTTTTATGATTTTACCTTTCAATAAGGTTATGAAGAGCCTTGAACAGCAGCGAACGGCATTCGTACGAGAGCCCACTCTCCCACGATCCCTGGTCACCTTCTGAAAGTAAAAAGAAAAAATTAAAGCTTTTGTAAATAATGACACTATTTGGATTTTAGAATTGTGAACCCAGATTAACTCTATCAAGCATCACACGAACCACGACCTCGCTACCTCAAATGCTATTGTCCCAGTTACCGATTATTTTTTCTGTGGAGATCTGTTTTTAAGTACTTAATACATTCAAGGTTAGATTGACAATGAAAATGTCCATAAGAGAAGAATGTAAAGCTGAGAAGCGATAAAATCGGGTGGTTGCAATGTGGTAAGTAAAGCTAGAAATAGCTGTTGTTGCATTCGCAATCGGAAGATAAACTCGGCCTATCACCGACGTTAGATGCGAAAACAAAACGGCGCGCGCGACGTTGCCGTTCCGAGTAGTGCTGTCCTTGTCTAGCTAGGAGGCGGGGCGGGGGCGACCCATGTGACGTCATGCGGCCGCTCAGCGCACGTGCTTGTGTTTGTAGCGCATGCCGCACACGACACACATGCGAGCGTTGCTTAGCGCCCGCTAACTATTTAATTGACATTGAATATAATTTTCAAAACATTACCCAAAATAAAGGATATGAAATATTTATATTAAATAGGAAATTTTGATTGATTTAGCAATTGCATTAATTTTAATCACCAAAAAGTAGTACATGTAGTGGTTCAAGACTGTTAAAGTTAATGAGTTATTGCTACGGGTTATCGTTCACGCGCCCGGCAATTACTTTGCGCTGCGATAAATTGATAGTAAGTATACGCCTGACTTTGGGAAATTTTACTAACATTTTTCGGCGTTAGTAGTCGTCTTACTGGAGCGATTCCAAGCGTTCAGCCTTGACATTCGTGTTCCAGGTGTATGCGGTCCATTCCGTCTGTCTCACTCTCATTTGAACTAGTTTTTCCAGAATTAGGACGCTAATCGTTTTAATTAATTATATTATTTCTTGGAAGCACCGGTTTATATTAATTTGTTCTCATATTGATTTCTACATTTTTATCGCATAACATAACATCACGCCTTTTATCCCCGTAGGGGTAGGCAGAGGTGCACATTATGCCAGTGTACAATGTAACACCCACTTTTCACTATTTATGTTATGAGTCCCATGTAATAGGGGGTGAGCCTATTGCCATAATTATACCGGGCAAAATTCCAGACTCCGTGCTACTACTGCGATTTTTTAAGCCCAATAACCCGAGACCTCTTGCCCGGCAGTCGCAATTGCGACCACTCGGCCAACGAGCCAGTATTATCGCAGCTAAAATATGCAGTGGTAGAAAAGTTCAATTAGGTAATAAGTAAAGACGACTTCCAATCATCACAAGTAAACAGAAACCTGTCGATAAATAAGAATCGCCTTTCGATTTATTAGATGCCATAGGAATAGTTCGGATTAGTGGAGCCTTCTCACTTCTAGGTTAACAGCTGTCATTCATAAACATTTTCCACGCGTTAAAAATGACCATCTTGCTTCAAAACCCATATTATGTAAATAACATTCAAAAATATCTGAGTATTCTGAGTGTAGAATAGATTCACCGATACGCGAGGTAATTAAGCAAGTACCGCTAGTGTGTGTCGGTGCTACTGGTACAGGCACTGCAATTATTGAGCCGGTCGGTTCGGCACCATCGACTCCATCTCCCAAGGCCGTTAACGCAACAAACGGTAAGATTACTGTATACTGAATACCAATACCGATATACTTCAACACCGGAGCGAGTCACGACTTGGATCGCATCATGGTGCCATTGCGATTCGGGTCAATTAAGGATTTTAACATCGATCTACAGGACCATAGGCAATAATCAACAGACATCAAATTCTTTACAATTTCTCTGGAAATAGTATATAAGATGTAAATGCTTGGCAATTTCGACATTGACCAAATTTCAATAGGTTTTTTATAGTTTTCGAAAGCCGTTTCAGTGTCGATGATCATTGACATCAAAACATTTCAAAACTTCGTTACATAACCTTATGCCGTGGTTTGTTGAACTTTTGGCGCTGTTAATTAATGCGATCATGCGGTTTGTTTAGGTTGTGTTGCGAGTGCGAAGGTGTTGTTTATTTCCAGTGTTTGTGTGAGAGTGCATTTGTTTCGAGTGCAATAACGAAGATTGTCCAAGGTTCAAGGTCGCATATTTTGTCGCGGTGTAACGGCGGTGGTTGGCACTACCTTGCGCCGGGATCGATAGCGGGCAGACGACGCGCGCCGCCGCGCTACCCGCCTCCACACCGATGTGAACGCAGTAATCGCCATACGATTATCACTATTGTTGCCTAAGTACTATTTGTTTGCTGCCGCGTTGCGGTTAATGTCGGCGATAACACGCTGATAACAGACGTGAAGACTAATATTGAATGCGAATTCATAACGAAGCTCGGTGGTTTGTGGAACATTTGTCATAGGAGATGCTTACGAAACGTTTGTCAGAGATGCTATACTGCAGTGGGTAGATATAGGGTAAATTGAGCGAGTCGCAGGCAATAAATATGGTATTTAACGATCGGCTGGTAGTTGGTAGACAGTAGAGCGGGAAGATTTATCTGCGTCGGTGACAGCGCAACAACATTATCGGGCGGCACGTGGGCCGCGGGCCGGAGTGCGGAGTGCGTCGAGTGCGCTCTGCGGCTGCACTCGCAGCGTCTCTCTCGCACCGCAATGTTTGGAACAATCTCCGTGTCGCGTCGCCGTGTTCTACAAAGAGCACACTTTCGCAATATCACCGGCTGCTTTAATTTTGCGCCACTGCGTAAACTCACCTAACTATCTGATCCTTTTAAAGTTGTTAGCTCAGATTTCTAGTTAAAATACCGGTTTTTGAAATTTATATACCGACTAATTGAAGATCATAAGACTTGCATACAATTGTTATTAGAACTTTCATACAATTGTTTTCTCAAGCCGCCTGCACCACCAGTTAGCTATCAGTCGTACCAATAGGTAAGAAATGAGTATCGATTTCTTACAGCGATAGAAAGACAAAATTGCATTATTAATTGATTACACTATCAGTTTTGAACAGGATAATATAAGCTGGCCTGTATTTCATAATAATATTATTTTCGTATTACTAATGATTGTAGTTGTTGTTGACATACTTTAAACTTGAAACATTTACCTCCGCTTTTTAAATAAGATTTTGAAAATAATAGAAGGATAATGAAAAAGCTGTTCAAAAATCAGCGACAGGCGATGAAAAATAGTAAACAATCAGTGACAGCTACATAGCATAGCATAGGCGGGCGGGCGGTGCGACATGGCAACGTCGCGTTCAAATCCGCGCGCTTTGTTTACAACCACCGGCGGGCGAGGTTAACCGCTGCGGTAACATTCGCCTCGATACGCCCGCGAGCATGGGAGCCGCGCCGCCACTCCACGCACCCGCTGCTGCCGGCCTGACATCTACATGTGTGAGAGTTAACATCGCCACCGAACCGGTTGTTACACCACGTAATCGAAGGATATCTAGGTAGCTAAGTTTTACAAAAGAAACAATCGAGAAAGGTTACAAAAGTCTTGTTGAAAGGGCGGGCTGTCGGATTGAATAGGCGGATACGGGCATTTAACCCGGTTCGGCGCCGCCTGATAATGTAATTCAAGATCGTATCGAGCGCGTGGAAATCTGTCAATTCGCGCGCGCCCTCTGCGGCAGCGGGTCGGGCTCGGTCCCACCCGTGCGGTGCTTATGTTTTTGTCTCGGTCGCGCACACCCACGTGCGCGCGTGACGTCACTAGCGCGTCGCCCCGTCGACGTCACAGACCGCCCGCAACCCGCGACATGGGAGCCCTACCAGCCCTACCCTCGAGTGAACAGATTCGCATTGCTCAACGATCGGAACAAACTAACATTGATGCGGACATTGGTCTGTTGACTTTAAAGTTTGCGATACGTACCGACTCACTGATAGGTAATAATTTCCATCTGAGATAAGATAAAATACTTCTCGGAATGAAAATGACATAGAAACAAAGAGGCAATAAACGTAAAGATAGTTTGCAAATTATTTGCGACGAACAACTAAGCACGCCTTTGATACTTTAGGCAGAAATTTGAACTGTTTCTTTTAAACTAGATATAAAGAAATCTTAAATATCCTGAAGATAGTTGAGTGGAACCGTCGTTACATACAAGCGGGGCGGAACTCAGCATCTGCGCGGAATCGGCCTCGAGACACGCAGCTGCACGGCCCACCCTCGCGCTTTTGTTTCTACTTGGTACACCACTTGATGGCTAATGGTTATGTCAGGACGGGTAACGATAGCGACTCACATGCGGACAGGAAAGAGGTAATGTGTTTAAAACACAATAATTTAACCATCTTGCGTCTCGAATGTAAACAACTTGATTATTTATTTTGTGCAAAAATAATAAGGAAAACTGGCATTATCAGTCAGTATAACCGATGAATAAGACATCATTATTGATAGTCATGTAGCGTGGTATTGTTGAGCCCAGGTGAGAAAATAAGAGCAAAAACATGCAGACTTTCGTATTTATAATGAGGTTCACAACTAAAATAAAGAAAAAAGCTATTGGATATTTGGAATTAAAATATTGTAGAACTCTAATATCACGAATATCAGTAATATTAGTGGCGATTGTCGCAATCTATAATGGACAAGACAACGCGCAATACTGTTATGGTGTCAGACATGACTTAAGTGAGACGAATCGATAATAACGGTACAGAGCGAAGGCGGTACACTTAGACATTGGCCGTGTTTGTGTTCGAAATTGGAAAATAATTATGCGACCGATAGAGAGAGCCACTGATCGATACGCGGCTAGCGGGCGGTGCGCAAGCGCATCAATAAATAGCCCGATCCAGTGCGCGCCCATCGATACACGTCACGAGCATTTTATTAATAAAACGCCGAACAACGCGCGGACGCACCGAACGTTCAACAACCCCGCGCCGCCGGCTTCTTACGCGCACTCTTTACATAGTTACATCATATACTACCATCTGACCTGCTCCACATTCACAATTATTGTTCAAC